AGGAGTTATCAAAAAGGTGTGGAACAAACAAAAACAAATCTAAACTAAATTCTAAATAGGACAAAAATTACAATGCGGTGCTACTAAAATTGCAAATAGAAATTCAATTCATCTCATCAATACTTTGAGTTATATCAAAGAAACTTTGGCAATCCATGTCATCAAAGTATATGAAAAATGTATCTGTGAAGACAAAATTAATGACATTAGAAGTCAATCGAGAAGCAATGAATGAGATGGAGTATTTAGTGATCGGAAGTTGCACAACCAATAGCAACTTCAAATCTTTCTATTGGCAAGAAGAGGTTAAGAAATTTGTTCATGTCGACAATAAATATAGTGAGATATTTGCAATCGCAATTTTGAAAGCCGTTGAAGAGTTTTTGGAGATATGAAGATGGTTGAAGAGAATCTAGAGGATGAAATGATGATGACATTTTATCTTTCAAGGTTCAGATTTGGGTTTAGGAAACACAATTGTATTTAAAATTTGAAATCATTTTATAAAAAAATTGTTGACATATAACATAAGTTGCTCTCCTCCAAAGTTTGAGAAGAGGCTAAAGAAAATTGATGATCTTAGAAAGTTGTTTGAATATATTCAAGTGCAAGAATCTTATCTTCAAAACTTATGACAATCAATGACATGTTGAATTAAAAAATCCAGATCCTTTTTTTTTAGAGTAAAATTCGTATTTAACCTTGATGCATACTTAAACGTATGCGTAATTACCTGGAAAGCTACCTGTATTTATGAAGTTTCAATGGAGTATATAATTCTAATCATGCAAATGTTGCATGGTGGAGTTTAAAGAATTTCATAAATTTGACTGAAGAGTGACAAAGATATTGAAAACTCGTTTAAGTAATTTGAGAGAGATGTACAACCAAAAGTTTGAAGTTATCAAAATGAATCAATGTTAATGTGACAAGGTCGAAGGAAAATAATGTCTATGTAACATCATTATATATTTAAAGACTAGCTGAAGTATATTAAGGTTAACACATCTTTTAATAATAATACGATGACCAACGTATACACTATTCATCTAACGTTTTCGACTTGCTCCTTATCTTATTTAGCCAATAGGTTTGAGATGTTAAACAAGGGTCAAGTTTACCCATTTAACAATGTTAGTTGGGGGCAGTCAAAGAGTACTTTAATCCACTGCTGTAACTGTCAATGACATCATCAAGATAGGGTTCAGGGTATGCAACTGCTCACACCGTTGAATTTTGCAAAATCAAGTATACATCACTCCTCTCTCTTCCGCTCAAACTATTTCAAGTCTCTACGAGTCTCTAGGTTGCTAAGACAAAGCGGCAACTTTGTTTGAGCAAGGTGTAGAGATATCAAAAACCTATATATTGGCACTTGTTATTTGGACAAGAAGGTTCACTCAAGCATATTAAATCTCCTCCGAATGTCCTACAAGTTATAGTCGGACTCATTTCGCTATCATCGTCATTAGATCACAATTAGACCAATATTAAGTGATGTTACTAAAGAAAAATAATATAGTCATAGAACTCTTCACTATGGTACTACACTTAAGCAACTTCTCTACATAAATTTTTCTTTATTATGCTTGAATAATATACTTAAATTTTGAATCTTTTCAACCTGACTGCAATATGTATTTTTCCCAATGCAATCTCCCAACAGCAAACTGTAGGATGCCGTCAAGCGTCATAATGCTATCATCCCAACTTCACATGACACAATGTTTTTCGAGTGAGCTGCATCTGCTTGTTGAGACCTTTTTCTTGATATCTTGGGTTTGCTCGTTTTCTTTTGGATAATGATCTATCTTCCTCCGGACAATCCGATAACTTCAAGACGACGAACACGCACTACACCTGTCTTCCATCAAGACTTAATCAAAATTCAAGTTTTTTATCCCTTGTTTATCGGTCCTTCTTGAGATGTATTCTAGACTTCATCATTGTAAAATTCTACTGATTTAATTATCTGCGTTATGTATGGTTGATATTTTATAATCACAAACTTATAAAGACAAGTGAGAAGGAATCCAAACCTTTGGAGTATTCCATACATCTCCCCCGCATGTTTCACATGAAACATTTATGCCAGCTCCATGTGTTCTTCAGACTCTAGATCCGCTGACCTGAAATGATTAACAAGTGGATAATCCGCATGATGTCCGAAACTTTACTTCAACTCTCATGAGGTTACTTCTTCCTACAATCATGTCAAAAGAGTCGATGTTAGCATTTTAGAGCAAATATACTTGAACATGCAGCGAATCTATCAATCGAAATGCAAAGTAATAGCACAGCTTAGTCAAATAGGGGCTTAGTTATTTTATCAATGCCAAAATGATTACAATATTGCCATGTGTTTTATGCTTGAATATAAGACATTAATTTGCGAAAGTGTGGCTCCAGTCGGATACAAGGGACATCGCGCAAGCTCACATTTAGGCAACATTTAAACGCTGGAACGAACTCTCTGTACAATGTGGCGGGTAAAGAAGAGTACCAAGTCACGGTGCCCAAGAAGAGTCACTGCCGCGGTCTACCGACTAAGCCTTCGAGAAGGTAATGATTTTGCAGGTATCAATGCGGAGCACGATAACAAAACGTATCATAAATCTCCTCATGAATTAGTGCAAATTGCGAACTGCAACTAGAAATTGTGCGACATGGGTTCCTGGGCGGTGATAACATAAGCAAAATGCAGTGCAGTGTAGTGCAATGCAGTAATCCGCAGTGTGAGACACCCCAAACTCGCCACTTTTCATGACATGCCGACCTCACAATGCGGCGCGGTTGACACGAGCGGTCCACGTTCTGCTCTGTACTGTGCGGTCCGCGGTTGGACTGTACCGTACAGAGCCCTTCCGCTCGCCCGAGTGCTGACCTTAAACGAACCCGGAGCCCTGCAATTCAACGCGCCATGATTGCATCTCCAACCTGACCACACAGCCCGGCATCTGTCCTGCGTCTGTCCGGACGATACCGGCGCCCTTCAGACAGAACCTGCCCACGTAGCGCCGCTGTGCGGGCTTTAGAATCGGCTCATCTTAGTACACCCGTCTTGTACAATACCGTACCGCCTCGACCAGCATTGGCGCCTGATAAAAAATCTTCACGTCGGAAGCAGTCCAATGTCCACCAGTTCGTAATCCAGTCCCTCCACCAATGCCTGCACCATGCGCTCAATCAACACGTCGTCGCAGTCTACAAGCCAGTTGCAAAAATAGGCTTTTAGTTCCGAGACCGAATTCCAGGTAGTCTACTGTACCTGGAATTCGGTCTAGCTGAGGTAGATGTTGAAAGAGGTCACCGGCCTTTGAAAGTCCCGTTGGGTGAAATTAATTGGTTTATTCATCGTGTCACCCAATTACAGCGGTCCTGTAACCTCCTGAATTTGGCGCTGCCGTTTGTATGTTAGTAATGCGAGTGTACATGGCTAAGCAGGTTCGTTTAACATGCTTATTATCTTGAGCGGTGAAGCAGGTTCCTCTGACGTGCTTGTTATTTCCTAGCCGTGAAACAGGTTCCTTTGACGTGCTTATCATGCTTCATCGGTGAAGCAAGTTCGTTTCGAGTTGCTTATTATCCTTGAGCAGTGAAGCCTCTCCAAAGTTGGGATGACACTGTCATCATGACAGTCACGGTGAGCTCGAGTGGCTTGACTTGAGCACAGAATGTCTTTAGATCGAAGGCAAAGAGTACAGTAGCGGAGTCGACTGGGACGTGGCAATCTGCCGCCTTCCCCGAAAAGGCAGGTCTCAATTAAAACGAGTAAACCGAGTGGAGTGCAGTACCTTATTAGTTTCCTACGTTTGTGACTCCCAAGTGGATGCAGAGGTAAATCTCACCGTCCTGTCTGGAATTTCGTGGGAGTAGCCGGCATGAGCGATTTTCAAGCTTATCGTATTCTCCGTTTAACCGGATCATACACTTGCTTCCCGCAGACGGCAGTGCGAGGGCTAGGCGTGATAGATAGTCTCAAAGTAATATCGTGAGGCTTTACTGTGCTCAGAGGGCTCTGCTGTTACTGGCTACTGGTTTGTAGGGCGATTCATGGATCCTAAAATATGTGAATTTGATGCTCACTCGCTTCCTCACGTAGGCTTCACCGACTCGGCCGATCTGATCCAAATGTCCACCTCTTTCGAAAACGCATACCATCGCTGTCCACCGGTTTCGACTCCCGGGGACGACATTGTCGGATCGGTATATGCTTTCGCAGTTGCAATGCCCGCTCGCAGGCGTCGGCATCGCCTGGAACCACTCGTCACCGTACATCTTGGAACTGGTTGCCGCTCTCGCCCTGCCTGTCCACTGACTTCGTCGTCCCAGCAGGTCTCACAGGTCTCGCAAGGAATCTCCTCGCGTGTGGGTCCACATCCGAAGCGAGAGTCATCGCATTCTCTCGCAGCATTCCATGCACAGGCGAGAGATGATGTGGGAATAAAACGCACATTACAGCCAAATTCGTTGTTGCGAGGTGGGGGACAAGATGAGCATTTCATGCAGAGGCACATTTGTCGTACTTCGAATTCATATATGGTTTGAGTTAATGTGCATTCACGTGTCTCAAAACTGTGCCTCAACAGTTTGCTTTGATCGTGATCATCTTCTTCATGTTCATCATATTCCTCCAAACATCCGAAGCCCTTTCGATCGAAGCGAGTGAGCTCAGGGAAGGGATCGGGATCTAGCTTCAAGTATATTAAAAATTCTGACAATATCTACCGGACACCCAATCTACGGGTCGGAGTCCATCTGCCTACCATAACACGACAATACTACTCTGCGTGGGAATTGAAATTTTGAGCGACAACACATTCAATACGAAGATATTCCCCACGACAGTCCGAGGCAGAAGCTTTTTGTTTTGTCGATTGATTTGCTTATCGAGGGCATCGCCCTTATACCACTAATTTACACTAAGGAAGAAGCTAAGGCTAAAATGTATATGGTACACTAAATGGGAAAGAATTGCGTCTGTTCGTGGCTATACGAAATCAATGCCAAATGTAAGGTCCCTCCCGTCCGTGGTCCAAATGAGTCCCTTGCTCAAGACTCAAACGAAGAGGATCGACATAGCAATGGGTGGTGTATACACCGAGCGTGACCACCGGATCAGAATCTACCGGATTGTCGTCCATGTGGTGGCCGAAATGTTGGTGCGCGCCCTCGCAGGGACTTCTCGAGAGAATCGAGAGGACAGAGAGAGCGGCTTGGTCTTGGCGATGGTTACTCCTGTCTGATCCGTCCGGTGCAATGCACTGCCTAATGAGAGCGCACTCGTACCACGGCCGGGCGATCTCCTTGTACTTTTTCAATGTGAATCCCACAATTGCTGCCTCGCAGTTCTCCAGATCCCAGATGCCGGGCAGGTTCGCCCGGAAGAATTTCAAGTGCAGCGGATGAGTGCGAGTCCAGATCGTGCCATGAGACTTTCGTGAAACGAAGCCCGTGGATTTCAGCGTGTTGAGAGTTTCCACGAGGGAAACCGTGTCTTCGAATCGATCTCCCGCGTCGGCCCACAGGGCGATTCCTCGCTCCCGGAGCACGGTGTGCACCATGATGCCTTTCCATGCGTACTCGCCCGTGCCTCCGAAATAGCCCAGACTCTGATTGAGACGCATCCACTGCGGGTGCGCCGAGAAATCGAACAGCCTGACCTCGGCCTTCACGTTGTACTCGGTGTTGAGCTCGTCGATGACGCAATCCAGAATCTTCTGATGCTCGGGCTTGAAAACCTCCATCGCCCAGACGACCACCGATACTCCGGTCCCCAGCTCGACGGCGCCCTCCTTCGCAGCTTTGCCGAGAGATCGAAGCATGAGAAGCCCCACTGCCATGTGGTTGCTGCTGAATCCCGTCACTATGGTGGGTTGCCACTTGCTTTCGGGAATGGGCGGCGCATCCTCCTCGGGCCTCGAACAGTCCAGGTCCACCAAGCGCTGGCTCTTCCAACTCGCCATCCGATTGAAATGAGGTGAGATTTGAGGAACGAAGCGATGCGTAGACCCGGAGATTAATTTCCCACACTTCGTACCGTCCGTAAGCTGGTCGAAGCTTCTGCACTGCGCCTTCACGCCCGGCAAACCGATTTCCAGTTCGTTCACAAAATCCCTCACCATTTTGCACACAATGCTTCCGTAGTCGACTCCTACCAGAACCTGCACTTCCTTCGCCTTGCTCTTCCCCTTGTGGGTTCGCGTTGCGTAAATTTCTTCCTTCATAGCCGCAAACAGGCGGCTGTACACCAATTGGTACGGCAGAGACTTGTCGCGCGGTTGGCCTCCATCATCTCCGATCGATAGAGCGAGGCAAATGTCGAAATCCGCGCCGATGGTGGTGGATTGTGAAGCAAAACGTGACTTCTCGGAACGCGTGTCCGCGGGAGTAGAATGTTCACAGGTAGAATTGGACACGTAAGGAGGAACCAGACCAGGATAGATATAATTGGGATGCGAAATGCCAGTCGTTTCCCTCCACGATTTTCCCAGAAAGTAAGAGATTCGTCTCGTCTCTATTCTCGCTGCAGACAGGAGATGACCCCTCGTAGGCAAATCGACAAATTGCAGTACCAAACACAGTGTCAGTAGCGACACGATGACCCACACCCAGCCGTGCGCGCACTTGGATTTCACCTCGTCGGGCCGTGGCATTCGGTCACTGCAAATGCTCTTGAGCTTACACAAAGGCGGCCTGCACTGCACCAAGGACGCCATTAGAATCTCGCTGCTCTCGGGTGGAGAACTTTTCTTGAAGGTCTTGCATTTTATCTCCCTCCGAGTCACCCCCTGCTCTGAGAAAGTCATCAGGCCTCCCTCCCTCCAAATTGCCCGAGTCGAACCCAAGCTGAACAAATGGAGCAGCAGATTTCGGAAACTGCCTTCTTCGGAGAAATCGAAGTGTGCAGAAACGGATGTTGTTTCCGAATTCTACTCTGAGCGCATTGAGCTGTTTTCCTGACAGCAGAGCGGCGGGGAGATGGAGCGAGGAGAGACACTAGGACTGCAAACGATGGCTGATGTATAGAATCGGTCGGAACGCGCTCGAGAGAATGCGAATCATTCAATTATTCACGAAAGCGGAGGGAGAGAGGAGCAAGTCAAGCTCTCACCGAAAAGTTGACCAGGTCAGAGGGCACGACTAATTGACACGAGTTTGAAAATGAAAATCGGGGGAACGTAAGGAGGAGACTCGGCAAGGCGTTTCTATCACGGAGAATGTGAACTACAGCGAGATGGAGATGGGGAGGGAGAGGAGGAGCGAACGAGGGCGCCAGCGCTCACAGAAAACCGAATGTTGAGGGACCCATCATCAACTTAAACGAGCTCGACGCATCAAATCGCAGGAACAAGCGGTCGATTACAATTGTGGCCGAGTCTTCATCACAGACAAGGGTACTCACTCAGAAACCACCCGAGCCAAATCTCCTGTAACCGGCGGTGGTAGCAGCAGGAGTCTAAGCAAAGGCTGGGGGGGTTCGCGAGGCAAGTCAACCTACGGCAGTTTCTCGGAGTCTTAAAAGAGGAATGAATGATCGAGGTGTAGCGGAACTGGAGGAAGAGGAAACGATCTACAGCAATACACCTCCACAGTCGAGTCCGAGTCCGGGTCCGGGACAGGTGAAGGCCCTGCTTGCACTTCTCAAGGATGAGTCGCCGAGTCCTCCGACCTTCCTGTGCTGAACAGGAATGATTGACTCATGATCCTGCGGATAGAGTTTAGAAAAGGCTTTTCTGGTGCCCCGGGTTGATTCCTGCTGCCGCCGGCCGACTACGAAAGGCACCTCCGAGGCACCTCCCATTCACCTGACTTAACGGTCAACACACTAGGCCTAACGAGGGCCCTCCGTCGAGGACATCGAGATCCGAACTTGAAGTTCCTCGCAGTCCAGCCGCTAGGACCAGACCATGTGTCGTAAATAGAATTCCGCACAGCGGAGAAGCCGAGCGAATGCGGCGAAACCCATGTAAACCTCAGTGTCATGCTCCAACCAAGTGGCAGCCACCATCCATCCTGCCTCCAAGGGGGACAAGCAAAAAGGTGAGCTACTGCTGACGATTCTCGTCCGGCTCGTTGTATTTTTCTCCCCAGTGTCTGGGCCGCCTTGAGCTCGGCCCTGACCCGGTTGCAACTGCAGGCCGGCGGAGGCTTAGGCTCGCTCCGGTGCGGAAGGAGGGAGGCTATTACCACTCATCACGCCCCGACCCATGGCCGAGAAGCCAGCACTTCGCCATTCTCTGCTCCAGCGGGGCTACCTGATCGCACGAACAAACGTTTTGTAAAGACTACGATTACGTCCAGTCTTTGAATCTGCCCTGCAAAAGAGATGCTGTTGTGAGGTTCAGAGTTGCAGTTTTTTGATGATGCAGAGTTGTTACTTTACAGTGGTCGATAGAGGCCTTCTGAGACCTTAAAGGCTAAATAAATCTGAGTAGATTGAGACTTTCGTTCGCTGCAAGTGCATGTAACTACGTAAGCGCGAGAATTGGCTAGCTACTATGTCATAATTTTGTGATTCTTATTTTGTTGACTTGTGTCTTCGCAATCACAACCTACTTGCCACGCGAATCTGGTTACAACAAAAAAATAAAAATAAAAATCTAGGTGTACAATCAATTGAGGAAGGAGATAAGAGTTTTTCATTGACCAGCTCAGAAGATGATAGCAAAACAGATAATATTACAAATTACATGTGTTAATGCATTAAATCTTTTCTCCTTTCACTCATTAGAATTATACACTAGTATATTGATACGTATTTATATATGTATAGGTTTATTTCACTTAACGTATATGAAATGAACAATAACGGTTCTTCATAATTTTCAAAAGAATGTGAATTCAGTGATGATATTAAATGATATCAGCATATCAAGTCATTTATAGAGCCAATGTCAAAATCAGAGCTAGCTTTAACGACAATATGTTTACATTCTATGATGTACATACTCAATAGAATTTGATATAAATAAAATATATTGACCTATAATACTAGGCTCAATCTTCATATAAATTAGAGAAACTAATAGATATGTTGAACAATCGAAATTTGGATTATTAATTACTTTCTTAAACCTTTACATGTGAATATGATGAGGGTCACATATACAAAATCTTTTGGAACGTTTATTCATGTATTTTTACCGAGTACTCATCTAGATTAAAAAAAACTCACAAATGTGATTTGAAATCAATAAACTCCTTACTTGCTTTTTACATGCATTTTTTAAAATGCAGAACTGAGTATGTATTTCAGCTACCATACTAATAAGTCAATCAACATGCCATACACACATCAAATGATATGCAGCATGCAATAATAAGAAAAAGTATTTCACTATGACTGAAATATATACAGATTTATGTAAAAGTAGAATACAATACCAACGCAAAGTGTTCGGTCTTGGGAAGCACTCCATTCACTTATGTTATGAAGTTTTTCTCCCAAGTATATCGTGAGACCCATGGATCGTAACTTCAATTTTAACTACTTTTCTTAAAGCAAATAATCATCTTGGCCATCGAAATGTTTTATATTATACCCAAAACCGTCATCGACCTGTCGCCCTGCCAACTTTGCACGTTGAAAAGGAGAGACAAGAGTAATTTTCTAAGTAAATTTCTGCTTTTTGAGTCATTTTTCATCACCTGAAAAGTGTCCAAATGCATTATTTGTATTCATATATATATTTCAAATTTATTGCCTTACAGATGTTTATTTAGTTATTAGATATTATTATTATACAGAAGTTTTAAGAAAAGTTTTTTTGTTAAATCCTGAACATTTGTGCCGTCTTCAAGAGTAGATCTGAACATTTCCATGCTTCATAAAAAACAATTTATTGTTTTTCAATTATATCTTTTTATTTTTTGGCAATTCTGCGATATATTATAATTTTATGAACTTTAAGATAAAAAATCTGGATTAAAGTACAAAATATCAAAATAGTTAATAATCTAGCCATTGATTTCAAAAAAAATTGAAAAATTAATGACATAAAAAATGTAATAATCTACTTTATATTTCATATCAATCAATATAAAATTCTTATTCCTTTGTAGAAAACATACAGTGTGTCACTTTTATGTGATAAATATTTTGTCAACTTATTATTTAAAAAAAACATGATGATGCACTATAAGTATAATTTTTTCACCCAACAAAGAATGTCATTTGTGGTAAGTTTTGATCACAAAATGTTTTGATCTAAAGTTTGATCCAAAAATATGTATGAAGAATAAAATTCTTACAAACACAAAAAGAGGAAATATGTCAAATTTTATTCAATAATAATCAAGATATGAATAATATTTTTTGACTTATGTTTTTGTAAATTTTGATGATTTTATTGATGATATTAAACTAAACAATCAAATTTAATCTGGCGAAATCTAAGTCTTCAAACACCGTTCATAATCTATTCTTACTGCATAAAAAGTAATTTTTAGTACATACCGTAAATATTTTTTTTCAAATATAAATATAAAATATTATAATAAAAAATATTATCAAATAATTATAAGATAAAGTGAATAAGAAATGAACACAAGAATGTAGATTTCTATCCATTAACAGACAATATTATTTGTAATAAAATGATTTTGAGAATTGAGAAAGATTCAATCAAATAGATATTTAATTTTATAGATATTGTTAACATCTAAATACTAATCAGGATCAAAATGTTGAGATGTATAGTTAAAAAAGGTAGAAAATACATATTGTGACATGTAGATGTTTTTTAACATTAAATTAAAAACATTAATTTATAATCTAATGTATGTTATTGATGATTATTCAGACTTGAGTGGATTTACTTTCAGAAATAAATCAATCAAATAACATTATTATTATTATTGAATATTTTTTTAATCTCTTTTTCAATATGATATGAGAATTTTCATTATAAATTATTTTTAATATACACTTTTTTTGATTGACTAATTTTTTTCTTCATTTATTCAAAAATAAATGTTTAATTAGGATTATTTTTTGAATAAATGCTAAAACAAATTGCTCATATTGGATCAAATTATAAATTATAAATTATATTTCTATGCATGTGATTTAAAAGAATTAATATTATCAAATATTTATATTTAACAGCTAATTTTTTTTAATTTTTTTTTAAAATTAAGGGATTGAGATATATTTAATAGCTAAAATACATTTCTTCTTGTTACAAATCAAATGATGAATATAATGATGATGTAGAAGAATATTTTATCTAATATTATCAAATAAATCTTTTGATAAAAAAGTTAAACCCGTTAAGATTGATGTCAAATCAACAAAATTGATACAGTTTAGTTTTGATTAAGTATTTGAAAATATTGGTTAATTTTGAAATTATTGCATACAAAGATAAGTCAGTTTCTCAAATAGCAACGATTATTAGTAAACTGATCCACTTAAAACTTGATTAAAATTTAGTTTAATCAGTTTCAGTGCATTTACATATCTTATCATATCTATGTACAATTTTTTTATGAATAATAAAGCTTAGTATAAATTTAAATTTTTTCAAATTTTTTTTTTCAATTATCTACAATGCTATGCAGGTTTGAATGTTCTAATTTTTTAATAAAAATTAACAGAACATCATGTAGAAATCACAATATTTTTATGATAACATATCAATAATAAAATACTGATACATTGTTTTTTGATATTAAATGTTATTATTGAATGGTTTATATTTTTAATCTTTGAATTCTACGAATTATATAAAATTGTAATTGTACATAATCTTTGTTTTGGCGGCTGATTCTCTATCATATGTAGAGAAATCTTACCTCCAAGCCG